GCCACCAGAATTGCTCATTGAGCAAGTGCCACCATGAAAATGGAGGGGAAGGAGGCAAACACTTTGCCATGGTACCCTTCTCCTCCCTCTGAACCCATTCCCTGTGAATTTCTGAATGAGGGTGGGAGGGGAATTATGCCTCCAAATAAGACTCCCTATCACAAGGCTTAACTCTGTTCCCTCCCGCTGCCATTTATTTACCTTGCTGTGGGATTCCTAGATGTGCACAGCAGACCCTGAAAGAAAAGAGGAGGAAAAGTGGCTTAGCCTCTCCTTCAATAGTACCGTTGACCAGGAACATCTGGTGGGAGCAAGGCAGAGGACCTTCTTGCTGTTGCCCTCAGGCTCTGCCGCTCTCTTCCCAGAGAGGCGAGACAGTCAGAACTTTCTGGTTTCTGGTTTCGAGAAGTGATTTTTACAGTGTTCATCCCATCTAAACAATGTCCTGCATCTTCTATTTCTTACCTGGGCTTTTCTCCTTTATAAATGACTGCCAAGGGTTCAATGTATTTATCTAGTTTTATTTCTTGAGAGTTTAATCATTTAAACGTTCAGATCGTGTGAATTCTTTTCCCATATTGTTTAAAATCTGTTGGAAACCACCTTGAGCCTTGAATAGAAAAATAGATGGGAAGAGCCTATAGCCACAATAATGAACGCAAATTGAGGGTGTGCCTTAGAGCCATAAACAAGCTTGGAAGACCATGTACTTCAAACTTGGGCAAGATTTTGACTTCTATGTGTCCAGAGAAGGGCAACCAAAATGATCTAAGGCCCCGAAGCCATAAACCCCTATGAAGATGAAGTCCCTCTTCCACAACGGAAAGCGAGCAGAACTTGTTTCCATTTTAAACATTGGCTTAAACCCTTGGAGATACAGGAGTCCATCCCTCAATTGAACTACCTATAGCTCACTTCTGCCTCATCCATCTGGAGTAAACCTGCAACGGGAGAGGCAACACTCACCTGAAACTGCTTTGTAACCGTTTTGTTGTTTTTCTGCAGAGAAAGAATTCTTCACCCTTGAACAGGATCAAGCGTCTGTTGAAGAAAAACCTTATGATGGTAATTATTCTGTGCAGCTGGTAATGTAGGTGAGCCAGCACGTTTGGGCCACACCCGGTGGGGTATGACTGTATGGGTTTTAGAATACAGTTCAGCTTTTGCTTTGAGGAGCTTTATGCTCAAAGGCTTTGCTCTGGGGAGCAGTTTGGAGAAGCTCCTCTGAAGGAGGCTATGGTGAAATAACTATTTACTCAAGGTTTATGTTTTGCTTTCTCATTTGATTGAAGATGAAGATGCCTTATTCTGTGTTACTTACAAGGACTATGTAAGTTTGTTGCAATATTTAATTTTTGCATGCAACACTGCAAGTTTATGTTTCATCTCTGCTAATAAGCGTAAAGTTTTTCTGTTCATTTCTCCTCTTGCCTGTGTGTCTTTTGCATGTAACGTTGGCTAGAATCCCCTTGCTACACAACAAAGCTGACCCTGAGAGATCAACACCATCTCATTCTCTGACGGAGAAGACCACACACCGTTTTCCTTCTCCTCCTCTCCTCACAGGGTTTCTTTCTCCCATTCCTTCCCAGCCTTTTAGGAAAGATATTATAGAAATGGGAAAGCATCCTCAGACAACAGGATGAGACTCAAGCTCATGACACGGCCTGAGAAGAGGGCAGAAATGTAGTCCAGCCTCCAAATGGTTGGTTAAGCTGAACATCTAGGTGGGCGATCGGGGAGAGTTCTTCAACACAATAATGAGATTCTCCCCATAACTACAGATTGTCTTCTCCCCACAAGGAAATACAGTCAGAATTTACTCACTGCAATACACAGCAATCCCAACGGCCAGGAGAACAACGAGAACACCCACAACGACACCCACAATGATCATCCACAGGATGGAGGCTGAAGGTGAAAATGAAACAGGGAAGAATGAAATAATTAAAAAGAGATCCTCATGCCAAACCCTTTATGGAGCAATTTGTAGATAAGAGAAAAAGAACCAAGGAGTTCATGGAGTCCAAGGCTAAAGT